ATATTCTAAAAGGCGTCAAAAATTTCAGAATTTTTAGGCTTGTATTTCCTCAAGTCAGTTGTTTCTTCCAATTTCGCACACCAAATAGCAGAAAGTTTTCTTTGGGTTACTGCTGATTACCATAAGAGTACATACAAAGTTTAAGTCACTATAATTTTTCAAAAAACCCGTCAATTGATTTAAAATTTTAGAGGTAGCTTTGTAATAGTAATACGAATCTATAATAACAAATTCAAAGTGCTAGCATTGTTTATGTATATAGCCTATACATCCTTAAGAAAAGATTGCTACATTGAGATCAGAGAAGATCAAAAAAATGAAAGACGGCAGATGCAGAAAGAATGCAGAGTGAAGAAACAAAAGAAGGGACGAAAGGAAGAGTTTGGAGTAAATTGAGCAAAACGAGGGCCGGTCGGAGGGCGTAGCCGAGGTGAGAGGGGCGCGGGACAAGGGATGTGACCGCGAAATCGGGCAGACCCGTGAAAATAACGATTTCTCCTTTGTGATGCCGTTCGTTAAACCGCGAAGAGTCGGTTTCACGAGATATGCGGTGGTTCATGTTGGAGGAAGGGAGACAGGATGATTCGTGCGTTCGTGACTCGTCGATATTTTTCCAGAACGCCGAAGGAATCGATATTTTATGTAGATCACGAGAAAAGGCGGTCTCGGCCCTTCTCTATTCTCGCCTCGGCGGACAAAAACATCGGCGCGATCCCACGCAAAACGGAGGAGCTTTGTGTCGCACGGTAGAATTCATCGAGAAAATGGAACTTCTTCGTGGCGATTGTTGCGTCGTGGATGGAGAAAGCTGACGCTATTCAGTCCGGTTGCATTCTGAATTAGATAGAAATATACCTATTATTATACGAATTTTCGATATTTCATGGTTTCGCAACAGCGAATTATCGCATGCGTCATACGAATTTAAATAGATACGAGATGAATCAATTTCCCCTTCTGGTATAATTCGACGATATTCATATTTGTTATTCGTGCAACTGTTAAATGCTATAATCTTTTCCGTCGATCAGAAGACCAGATTTCCCGGGAATCCGAAAAACGTCCAAACATCGTTCAGCTCAGGTGTCTCATTGTACCGTTTTATCACCTGACGTACGTGATGCGTTCTATACACGTTTCCCTGAATCTGGACTTGGCTACAGGTCAGGTTCTCCCTTCGTTTTATAGAAAAGAGAGAATCACCGAAGGTCGTTGCGTCCAGCTGCAGCCCCCTAGAAGCCCCTTCTGTCGCATGTATGGGTGCAGTAGGCCCGATCCGCGTGGAAGCGTGGGTGGGTGATGGATAGACGGTCACTATGTCATTCGTGCGAACGTTAAACGGGCACCAATGGCTAGAAATTGCATGGGCGCCTGCATCGTCGTCTATTTCGAACGACGGTTTTATGCAGATGCGGGACAAAAGAGGCGTCCAGGATCCCGTTTCGAGATACCGTCTCGTTTCTCAGACCGTTTTCTGCCTCTAACGGTGCACATTAATTGTCGCTCTTATAGTTTCATAAATTTCGTGCGTGTAAAAATATTCTTCTGCTCTCGAGAGTTCGTTGAAAAACCGTTGGGACCAACGTTTCTTTCACCGGCATGGCAGCCTTCCGTCCTCCTGGTAGCACCTATCCTACCAGAAGCTTCGTAAAACGTTCGTTGCATTTTTCTCCTAGGTCGAATCCTTCGCAAACGCGTCGCGTCGATAGCGGAGAGAGAAAGAAACGTCGGTTGCCTTATCTAGGCATCCGTTGGCGGATGAGTTCGCACCTGGCGGCTCGGTAGACGTCGATAAACGTTAGTTTTTTGGAACGAGACGTCACGAAAAGGGGTGGAAAACTGGTAACCAACGGAATTCACCCCAAAATCCTTTCTCCTCTTTCGGAAGATCGCGTGGAGATTCTCACGGCGGAAAAAAAAGCGTGATTTTCGATGAAAAGAGGGGAATCGACGATGCAAATTCAGGGGTGAAAAGGGAAACGTTCTCCGTGTGCGTGCGTATAACGTATCAGTGTGTGTACCTGCTTTTTGCGTCTCGCGTTTTCTCGAGGGGCGGGAAGACGGAGGACGGGGATGTAATCGACTGTGCGAGGAGAACCAGGACCAGTAACTGAAATTTTATAATGAATCCACCAATACGGTGGCATCGCCACGTTTCAGGCCCGTTCTACCTGACCCGTCGTTTTTTTTCCACCGTTTTAGGGGAATCCACGTCAGGTATGAAGGCGCAGATGCTCGGAGGAGCGAAAACCGGGGCAGAACATCGGGGAAACTTTTGCGTTGGATTCACAGAATTTTGAAATTTTTTTCCACAACCCTAAGTTTTGTCCCACAGCACATCCCCACCTGTCGACTCGGTCTCTTTACGTATTTCGCGATCGCGTTTATCCTCGTGTGGTCTTTGTCACGCCATGGGAAAGTTCGATGGCCCGAGTGGCTAAGCGACTTCCTTTCTTCGACGCGTTGGTGCGCTGACCCTTATCTTCCTACAATAGTCATTGAAATTTGGTAAAACCAAAACCCGCAATCTCTCGTTATACTTTAAGCTGTTATATGGTAAGCTGTAATCGATCACAGCCGTTGTAAATCTCCTTTGGAAAACGGAGGAACGACCCCCGTGTCGTACTGCGTATCGAAGTAATTATTATTAAAAACCGTTATGCTCGCGCAGGAGCAATGCCGTAAGCTCGTTTTCTCGAACCGAACGAATCGGTTCCGTGCCATTATCCGTCGCGTACCCCTTTTTTGGGGGCGCAAAAGACGAAGGAAAGGGTGGCGAGGGAGTCCGGGTCACGAGATACGATGATGGATGCACGAAGGGTTGTTTCGCGCTGCTAGGGGCAGAAATAAAGGGTCAAAGGGTTGTCCAATCGCGCGACAGCTCCAACACTCGGGACCAATGGGATCGAAGCCCATTCAGGGTTACGGGGTGCCGAAGAGGGGGTTGGTTCGTCCTCAGGGGCACGATTTCGTTGCGTCATTCCAACATTCGTTCTGTATCGGCCCTTCGACGAGGACCGCGGGGTTTCCTGTGGCCTTCGGTCTCCACCGTGAATCATAAGTATTGGTACCGACAGTGAACGGTGTTAAATATTCATGTCGTTAACTTATTGTCATACATATTTGAATCATCGGATATTCATGAAGTTGTTACAAGGGATTTGGTGATTTAAAATATTCTAACTTCCTCGCGATGCCGAGGGAGCGGGTGTTCGAGGTAATACGTAGTTGATTCGTGGAGTTGCGAAAAGTTCACGGTCGTCGACCGTCGTGCTGGATCTTTGGAACCAGCTCGATGTGACCGGGCCACGGGGATCCTCCAGGGCACACCAGGCTAAGATGGTCTTCCTCGAAGACCCGAGGATGATTTTTGCTGATATGCGACTTCATGCGACCAGCACACCGACTTCTACCCCTACGCGTTTCCATCTGCAGAAGTACAGACCGCAGAACAACAACAATTGTACGATTTGCCTCCCTTAACGGGGAGCCGGCACACTTCGATTTCATCCCTTCATCAAATTTTATCTCGCCTCTCCGATTAACTTTTCATTAGACGTGATTCATATCGGATCTCTTGTTTTTTAAAGATGCGGACCTTCACGGCGAGGTCGACGGGCCCGAGCTCAGCGGTGACGATAGGAGCATCACCAGCGATATTCAGGATGTCACGGAAGCGAACCTCGATCATGACTCCATGGACTCGGACAGGGAAGCCCTCAATCTGGTGAGTACACCACCGTTTCATTATTTGAACAGAGAACATCGAGAGACACTGGTAACGCCGGGAATTACAACTTCCGGCGGCGTTTCCGTCCGAAATTCTCCCTTGTCCGCAGGCAGGTTCGATTTTTTAGTTACCGACGAACAGCGCAAAAAGTGGCCCCGTCCAATATTTGGCAAATAAATAGAGGAAGCCACTATACGAGAAACGGGCGACGGAAAGGGGGCGGCCGGGCAGGGGTGCGCGTTTTATAAAACACAAAAGCGCAGGATGGACGGTAGTGACCAATATCCTGACCTGGTCGAGTGTAAACACGGCTTTGTTCGATGCCGTTTACTCTGTAATATTAGGGAGGGTGACCTCGCGCGCGATTCCTTCGATTTCTCCCACGAAATTCTTCCGAACGATCACATAATGTGCTTTAATCTTCAAATTCTTCAGACGAAATACGAGAACGAATTTTGCAATAATGCGCAGAAAAATGATAATTAAGTATCTGTCATTAATAAATCTAAAAGACTGAGCTAGAATTGCTGGCAACGTTTCATCGCGACAATGTTAATTTTTCTGAAATATCTCTATAGGTCACAGACGTGTCGCATCGCAATAGTAGCAGCGGAACCAGCGGCAGCGCCTCGTCTCCGAGTTCCGGGATCAGCAGCCAGATAACCGGTAGTCATCAGCAACAGCAACACGCGACCGGACAGCAAACCAGCGGTAACTCGCAAGCAGCGCTGGCTGCTCAATTGGTCAGTCAGCAGTTGCTGATGCACGGTTCCTTAGGCGCACTCGGACCTCAGGAGATTCAAGCGTTGGCGTCGACGTTCCAGCAGCAGCAACAGTCGTTGCAACAGCAACTGCAGCAGCTAGCGATGTTCCAGCAAGCGAATTCAGCCGCGGCTGGCCAACTACCAGCCCAGGCGCAATTTTTCCTCCAAAATCAGGTTCGTTAATATTTTTGTAATCATGATTCCTGTATTTTTTAATTAATAAGCTGCGAATTTTGCGGGTTTATAAAATAACTCAATCTGCAAAATTTGAAACGTCTCTTTAAATGGCTACCAGAAACGTCTTATTTTGCATAAAGATTCGCGGACTATTAGTCAGTCGGAAGCTCGTGTTCGTTCTATTTTAAAATTCGACTTCTATTTGCGAAAACGGAGAATAAAGTTGTAAGGACGGAACGTGAAAGATCAGCAAAAGAATCCTATTTCTCCGGCGAATAAAGCAACGCGTTTCGTATCTCGCTCGAGGCGTGAACAAATTCATCGCGCACTCGAATTCCATCGCAGCGGCTTTGTTCCTTCCGGCGCGGCGGGTACTCCACCGAATTACCTACTGACTACTCGATGCGAATTCGATTCGAATCGGGGGAGAGGAAGGTAGATGAGCACGAGTCGAAAGACGAGGACGAGTCCTTGCGGTATCTGATCGGCAGGCCGAAAAGAGAAGCAGAGACGTCTTATTCTTCGGGGGACGGTCTGCTCGATTTGACGCCGAGATAGCCGGCTGGAGTTGTCACAAAGGGACAGGATTTCTGCTCGTTTGGCCCCGCGTTTTCTTACCGCGACGTACTTTCAAGTGTCTATCTAGCGAGCACTCCAAATTAGTAAATCACTTGGATCGAAACGATTCAATAAATCGTATAATAACTATGAATCATTAATTTCGTAGAAATCGCAGTTCAGGTGGAAGAGTGGAAATATAATATTGGATCAGATAATTAATTTTTCCTTATTCGGTTCGCTTTTACTCGATGCTACCTGCCTCGTTCACGTCGATATCGTTGTCTCGTCAATGAAAATAGAACGATAGAAATATCCTCTGTTACTTCGAAATGGCAACGATTCTCTCGAATCTTTTAACGTTCTAATACAAAAAGATGGGACACCCGATCTATCGTAGTAAAAAATGGAAAGCAAATGCGTTCTCGTCAGCTGCCGTAAAGAATTTCCCTCGTTTTGTTCCCTCCGGATCGAACGGAGAAAAATCAATATTTCCGGGGACATGAAAAACGATCTGGCTTCCTGGATCCCGAAACGATTCCACCCCCTCTACCGGTCCGACGGGGGTTGAATGGGGGCCTCGGGTTCCTTCGCGTTTACGAAAAAAATTTCTATAGATTTCGTCACGTGGATCGCGTGCACGTAACGTCCTGGAAAGACTAACAAAACGACTTCGAACTTGAGCAGATTTAATGGCCCGTCCCGGTGGTACGTAGAGCCGCGAGCATTAAAGCCGGGTCTTCCGTGTCTCCTTTTGAAAGGTGCAACAAGGAGATCCATCGGGACCCTTCGGCACCTTGCCACGGGGTGCCTTTTGTTACCTCACACGTGGCCAGGCTGTTTCTTTTCCCTCCCTCGTCTCCTTCCTCGGTTTGCGTCGAATCAACCCCCTCGGATTCTTTATCCTTTTGAGAACAGTCGCGGGATTAGAAAAGTAGACTCGCACACGACCTCGGATCGCGTAACCCTTCCGTCGAGTGGATCGTAACCTGTCCCCCGTACCCTTTCAAGGGGTTACACGCATGATGTAACAAAGATTTATATTTAGGAGCAACCAGCTGACACGTAACGACTCAAGCTTCGCGGTCGGTCGGAATGATCTCGTTCCTCCGTTTCCTGGATCGGTATCGTTCCATCCACTTTCCAAACGTTCTTATCGACGACGTCCATCGACGAGATTAGAATTGTATCGCAGATACCCTATCGCTTTCACTATTTAGTTTGGCGAAATCGGATTCTCATAGAATATAACCGGTCATGCTTTCTACTCTTCATATTAATATAAAACAATTTAAATTGATATTTTCCATATCTCGTTCAGTTAGTGGAACGATTAATTAGCAGACGCGGAAGCGCGCAGGTGAATATCATTGTGATTCGTTCAACCTGCCGGCACGTGGCGGTATTCCGGGCACCCTTCCGCAGGGTGTCTTCGCGGTCACGACAATAAGCATAAACGACACGCGACCAGAGGACCTGAGAACCCTTTCCCTCCCCGGGGCTGCGTTTCGCACGAGCCCCTTATTCTGGTGATCGGGCATCTGGTTAAGAAAAGGGTGAAGATAATCGATCGGTCCCTCGAACGACTTCCCCGCGTACGTATGTACCTGTCCACGAGCGCAACACGTGTCGCCTTTCGAATGGAAACCGCTTAATCCTCCGCGCGGGGCAGCTCGGTTCGACGTGTGTCATTTGTCTCGAGCTGGGGTCAAAAGATCGCCTCAATAAGCGATAGGGTTTTGGACAGAAGTGCAAAACCGTTTTTCCTCGGTTAAAACAGTGATTGCGATCGTGTTAAAATTGCATCGAAACACTTTATCGCAGTCTTCGGTCATTTAAATTCTCCACAAGCGCAAGAAGATGAAATAATAAGTAGAAAATGGTCTTGAAACGTCTTGCAGGGGCTGTTGCAGAGCGGTGGCTTCTCCTCAAGACCGAGTCATCGCTCGCAGTCCATGCAGGTACGGCAGACTGTGAAAACTTGCGTTTCCCAAATCGCGAATTCCAAAGACGGTCGAAAGAAATAAAATATGTTCAGTGAAAAAAATATGTTGTGGTATGCGAATAGGTGCAGCAAGCAGTTGCCCAGGCAGCCCAGCAGTTGCAAGCTCTCCAGAAGCAGCAGGCTCTTCAGGGTAGCGGTGGGTTGGTCGGTCGAGGCTTGGCGCAGCAAAGGTCGCCGCCACCTCCTGGCACTCCTCCGGCTGTGAAGCAGCCGCCTCCGAGACTGGAGCCCTCGCCGGAGGAGACGACGGACCTCGAGGAATTGGAACAGTTCGCTAAGACGTTCAAACAGAGGCGGATCAAGCTCGGTTTCACCCAGGGCGACGTCGGCCTCGCCATGGGCAAGCTTTACGGCAACGACTTCTCTCAAACGACCATCTCCAGGTATTTTTTTGTTTTAGTGTCTCCGGTCTGTCGTAATCCGATATATTCTATGAATCAATCGTCTTCATTTCACAGGTTCGAGGCGCTGAACCTTTCGTTCAAAAACATGTGCAAGCTGAAGCCGCTCCTCCAAAAATGGCTAGAAGACGCGGACAACACCTTAAACAACCCGAACGCCCTCGCGAACCCGCTGACTACACCGGAAGCCATCGGCAGGCGGCGGAAGAAAAGGACGTCGATAGAAACTAGCGTGAGGGTAGCTCTGGAGAAAGCCTTCATGCAGAATCCGAAGCCCACCTCCGAGGAAATCACCGTACTGGCGGATAGTTTGACGATGGAGAAGGAAGTCGTTCGGGTGTGGTTTTGCAATAGGTCAGTCCTTGACATTCTCCTCGAAGCTTCCTCGAATTTGTCTAATTCAATTATCATTTTTCTTGTTCTGTTTTATTTCAGGCGGCAGAAAGAGAAAAGGATCAACCCGCCGACGGCAGCGATGGGCAGCCCGACGATGGCGTCGCCGGCACCTTCGGTGTTCGCCTCTCTCGCGAGTTCTATCTCTGGTAGTCCCTTGGCTCTTACGACGCACTCTTCGAGTATAGGTCACTCGCATCCTCACCCCACACCCCTCGGCTCGCCGCTACCGTTAGCCCTAGTGGCTTCCGCAGGCGGCAACTACCATCCGTTGAGCGGGAAGTCGCACGAGTGACACCAGCAGCCCACCCACCATCAGGGGGACGCTATTTTTCATCAGCACCATCAACAGCCACCGCATCAACAGCCACAACAACGACGTTTGTGCAATCTACCCGAGTTTTATCATTAATCCGCGACGCGGTCCGTCGATGACGATGACCCGGACGACGTGCCCACCGACGGTGTTTCGCTGCCAAAGGGAATTTGGCAGATTCGAGCAGTACACGGTCACGGGAGCGAAACAGGAGAAGCTGGAGCGATCCAGTTGATGACACGAAACATATCTTGGTACGGAGATGCGATCTTATGTCCAGTCTTTGAAACGAGGAGGATTCACTGAGACAGCGAGCTTCGCTGGTCTCGCTTGTGTCATTGGAGGAGCAAGGTGTAAACTATTTCACGAAGAGTATACGAATCGCGAAGAAGAGACGAACGGAACATTCACAGGAGATTCTTGTACGTATTATCATCTGAAGGTGCAGCTAGGAAATTTGACAATGTCCAAAGACAGCGAATCAAGATCGTCAAACGTTTCGTATTCGTCTCAGTATTATATATCCATCTTCGATTTGAAACGTCGCGTCGCGTTAGTTCGAATAATTAAAGAACGAAGATCTCGAAGTATCAAAACAATTATCAGCGATTGGTTTTCGAGTCCTTTTTGCATTTATCTTTGAACTTGTTTAAAAATTGATCCATGAAGGAGAAACGACTTTGAGATCTTCATTCGTAACAGATGGTACAGGATCGTTGCCGCTGCTCATTAATTACAAAATCCAATTAACCGCGAGCCGCCGTAAAACGGGCCCTCAATCAGTTTCTACAGCTTGCTATTTAAATTATCACGCAGTCTTTATCGCGAGAGGAATCATGCGAAGATACATGTAATTACGAACTGGTTCGTTAACTTTTCTTTTTCGACACATATAAAATTTTATCTTCACTGTTTAGCAATTTTAAATGCTCCTTTGAACTGTTTGAAATTGAAACGCGATTAGTGAACGCGGCGATGCGATCCAAACCACGACGATTGACACGTCGAAGGAACGATTAATCTTCCCGCCGTAGCACGCGTGATCAATCGCGACGGTTTCGTCGAAAGAAGGCGAACGTTCTTCAGAGGTACTCGCCTCTCCGTGGTAAGCAGGGTTTTCGCGCCGCTCGCAAGGGAAACTTCTAAAATCGAAAACTCATCTCCAAATAACTGCAACTAATGTGAAGAAGCCCGAAGGCTCACTGCCACCTGAAGGATATTCCTACGAAAATAGATTGCCCAATGCTGTGTCACAGTTTATTGCACATTGCTGTTAAAAAATTAGATGCGTTTCCGATTTGAAAGCTGGAAGCTCCCTTGTCGGTGGCGATCATGCGGCGAGGTCCGACAATACATAAGGTTGTACATAATTTGCGTGTCTGTCGTCATACATATCCACGTCTCGAGTCTGTACAGCGTAATAACGAATTTAAAATCGACGAGAACACGGGGGTGGCTCGTTCGTCCCGGTCGTCGAGCTCCTCGTCCGTTTTTCGATGGATCGTAGTTATTCAAGCCAAAGTACCGTCAAGCACGCGTGATATTTAAAAATTAATGAAAGATAGGATTCCCAGGAAGATGAACAGGAGTTCGCGCTTGTGTTCTCGATTTCTCAGACAGACACGGGGATCATGTTGTAGATAACGTCTCTGCGTGTATATATAAGCACACGAATTATTCAATGTAGTTCGTATACGTTTGCACGGTTCGATCGAACGCGTTTATAGTTCGAGGGGCTAGTGGCACTGTATTTTGAAGTTCATCGGGCTCTCCTATGATAAACCGCAATTGAATAGACACTTCGAGGTGAACTTCCGGTGACTATTTAAGAGCTGCGATGTTCCACGACGACGAGAGGGTAAATAATGATTAACGTTCGGTAAGAGGAATGTGTTGCGTACGTAGAAGTTTCTAATTGATAAGAATCGTCGATATACTTGTAAGTTACGTTGCGCTCGTCCGCATGCAGAGACATCGCAAAAAAGGTAACTGGTCAGCATCGGAGAATATACATATGTGCATGTATAAATATACATAAATGTATAAAGTAAACGCATTGTAAATAATAGAGAGAGAGAGAGAGAGAGAGAGAGAATCGGGTGAATCCGCGGCAGATCTGTTCCCATGGTGACTATCGTTTCTTATTACTAAATAAGTGATCCTTAATCGTAGATCGTCCACGTTGACGCGACGATGATAGTAAGCTCGAGGGATTAACGTAGTTCGTTTTCCTTTCATTCACCGTTCGTCTTGATTAATTTCAATTTATATTTATTGATGATAACACGAGTATGTACTATGATAAGGAATTCTAGACTTATTATCGGTTTTAAAGATAAACCGGCGATAACAACGCGGCCGACCAAACTTATTTATCGATCCCTCGACTCTTGCGATCAACGACGTCAACCCGGAACGAGCCCGTTTGTACATTTGTTGCAAGATCTTTCGTTTTATGAATATTTCATGTACAATGGCATCGAGCATGCGTTAACCGGAAGGGTATGTGCGTAACACTAGCGCGGTGTACGTATATTATATGTAATTTTCTACGAGAACATGCAGTCTATGCGACGCGGTACGTTGAAACGCGTTTTGGTCGTTCCGGCGTATCGCGTAGGTACGTGCGATTATATATAATATAATGATACAACACCTGTACCTATCTGTGTATGTATGTAATATGTATGTATGTATACGCGTACGAGACGAGATCTCATATCGATCACGCGCGTCCTTTCGTTCTTAATCCTTTCGCTACTAAGCGTGACTATAAGTGGTACAAAGCGTTTACTGCACACTACGGGTGATTATAGTTACCCGGCACAAAATTTCGTATTTACTGGGCTTGCAGTTTCGGTCTTACTTCATTCATTATCATATACAAATACACTGCTGTGAATAAAAATTATTTTGCTTCTAAAAGCAGTGTTACAATGGCTTGAGACGAAAGACTTGACCTCGAACGCTGACGACCGTGCGTCCACGCAATGTGTACTCCGCCGCGCGGACCGCTGTAGCGAAAGGATTAAATCGCTCACGCACCCAGACACACGTAAAATCTGCTCTCATCTTTTTCACATGACCGAGCCTCGTAATTGTACAACTTTGAATCGCCCCGCATTCTACCAGCCGATCTTTAACTTCGTTCACTTTTTTCCTTTAATTTCGAGCCCGTTATCTTACCGAGTCGTGGACCAAATGTAACGAGACAAGCGCGAATGAGAGAGCGAATCCCGCAAAGAGAGATATAAAGAAATAAGAGTTCCTAGAGCACCCGTTCCGAGTGCGTTTCATAGACGTTTTATAAAATATTATACGCGACGAGCGGGTGTGCAAACGCCAGAGAACGCGATCGACACACGCGGCAATGGGAAGAGAACGTGCGAGAATGAGAGAGGAACATATTTTCCTTCTTACCCCGTTTACCCTTCTTCCACTTATTCTCCGAGATGTACAGTGTCTTTTACTTTTGTAGATAGTCGAGAAAACGATTAGGGACCCCCGCACCCTTTGATCGACGTGTCATTGACTTTTATTCAGTTTCGCGGGCCTCGATGTGCCGACGTGTCCCGCGAGCGATAGACACATTACAGTGATTATTATT